CCTTTAATGTAGATTATTTCTGAACGAGATATTTGTGAGCATGTAAAGTGAGTTTGGAAAAACTCAGTAAGACCCAGATTTCTCACAAGATCCAATGAATTAAATTGATAGAAAATAGCATACACATATTTTTTTAAAAAATGTCAGGGTGTACATATTACAGTGACCGGAGATTTAAATGTGTATTTTTTGAATGTGATTTCTATAATGTTTTACGTGAAACATCGCATTTTAAGTATTGTGTAGGTTATAGTCTAGACTTTGAAACGTGCTAAAAAATAACGTTTTGAAGATCGCATAGATTACTTTCTAGTCCGGCAAATGCAGGCTTTGATTCCACATGTTGTAGGCCAGGAGACATTTGAAATATATGTAGAGTCATACGATCTGTGTGTATTTCCACAGCTTACGAATATTTGTAAATGCATCCACTTGCTGGCGAATAAAACGTTCCACCAGGTCCCAAAACGTTCGATGGGCTTATTTGGATCGATCTTGGTTTGCAGAATGCATCTTAATGCATATTATCCTGCTAGATTTATACATGATTGATGGGGTATGTCATATTGGGTTCATGAATTATTAAATTTCTTGATTTACCAGTAATACCGAGGAAGGTTTAGGGAAGGAAATTCGGGGGGTGGGGAGTAAACGCTATAGAATAAGAAAGAGAAAAGTGATGTTTCTATGGCACATAATAAGCAAATATTACCTGCAGATTATGACACTTACAGGGAATATTGAAAGTAAGAAAGACAGAATAAATCAGCGTATAACCTACCCAATGTGCTTGTGTAACACTTTGTAGAATTAGGGGGAACAATAAAAAGACAAATCTTGCTAGGGGCCAAAAATGAAAGGACGTCGTGGAGAGTCATGATCGCCAAACTCCTAAAGGGACAGAGCATAAAGAAAAAGCGAAAACGTTGTTTTGGTCAACCATCAACATACAAAGGGAAAACACATTACAGCATTAAGAAAACCCCACCATCTTGTTTGGTGCAATCTTAACAAACGCGGATCATAGCCTCATGAGAACTGCAGCACGAAGAGTTCTTCTGTCAGCTAAAGACATTTGGAACCATAACCAAACGTTTGCTGTCTTCCAGGGTTTAAATATCGCTATCATGTCTCCGATTTTTGTGTTTTTAACGGGCTAAATTAGTGAATTTTCTAATTTCATATCCTTTTCCAAAACTAATGTGAAGAATATGGATCCGTACCTCTTCCGTTGAAAGTGTATGCGATAATGTCACTGTTGCACGTGTGCTATAGCAGAAAACTGAAAAGTTTGAAACCAGATCAATATGGATACGCTGAGCGGTAATGCTTTCTATCAGGATTTCCATTTTTCAAAAGTTGGATCCAAGATGTTGCCACTTACCAATTCTGTAATTTTTCTGCTCCCTGTGACTTTTGGCACGTCACTGTACATTCTCAAACGTATTAAAGGTGTTTGCTTCAGTAATGACTATGAAAACTGTTAGTACTTTAAAATAGAAGGAATTTTTTTATACCTCAAGATTGTCATATTTCAATTCGTTACCTCATTTTTACATTTCATGGAAATAAATATTTAGCCTTAAATCTTTGTATAGATAACATTTAAAATGAGATGACCAAAATAGACTCTTTTATTGGCTCCTTTTAATCGGTGAATATATGTAACTATCCACAATTTAGTTGATCTCGTCCATAGGTTTCATTTTGATTTCCTTATTAAGGAAACATTGACTTGTTTATTGGTCGACTTCGGATTTCCAAGAAAGGGGAGTGTTAATTTGAGTAAACATAACACGATATTAAAAACATAATATCTATACGAAAATTGCTTTATTTCTCAGTTTAATTTATTTAACTTATTGCGCTAGTAAATTTCGAGCTTTGATATGCTGTTTTTGATGCTTAACGGTATGAAATTGAAACAAAATATGTCATAAAAGGAACGGATTGAACATTTGATAATTTATTAATTTCATATATATTATTTTTTTAAATTATGATTTTCTCTGATGTATAAATCCAACTGAATATTATTGCCTATATACTTAACATCAGAAAGAGACTGTTGAAAAAACAACGCATAACCTATCCATTAAGCGTGTGTAAATAGATGACAGGACAGGCTTTAAGAGAAATAATAAAGAGACATTTACTAAGAGTTACGAAGGACAAAAATTGTGGAAATACATTGTCGTTAATGTCTTAAACGGAACGGCACATAGAAAAAGAAGAAATCTAAACTGTTGGGTTCATGAAGATATATACTCGATTATAGTGCGATTTTTTTTATGCAAAAAAAGATGGGGTCGCACTATACACAGGTAATTATTTTGAGGATGTTTAAAATCAAGCATTTTCGGTAACCGGTTGTGCTATAAAGCAAAAGGGGTATTCTAGGAGAGTTAAAATTTGTGCAAAAATTTCAGGGTGTCCCACTATATATGAAGCTGTTTTATACACGAGATTATAAACGATAATGTCTATGCTGATTAAAAAATAACGATTTAATAGTTTCGTTTGAAATCTAATGTATATGAAATTTTACTGAGCGTAGTTTCCATGTAGCACAAAGGCGAAGCTATAGAGCACCCAGTGAGGATCATAATTACTACTTAGTCGTAAATTATATAGCGAGATACGCTAGCTAATCATGACACCACGTTGAAATGCTAAAAGCTCTAATGTATAAGATATTATTGTCCAATCAGTTTGCACTTAAACAGTTGGATTAAGACGAAGATTTTGATTGGCAAGATTTTCTAAGAGATATTATTTTAATTGAATCGTTTCAAATGAATACACTTATACCTTAGCGTATAAGACAGTCTTTTTTATACTCAGTTATTCCTTAACCATAGATAATCTGTTTAATAATTCAAGTCTTTCTTCCTTAGTTTCCGTTGTTTAAAAGGTTGTAGATATTTTGTCCTTACTTGGTTGTTTTCATTCATTTTTCATTGCAATTTTCGTTATTTCCGTTTTCATTATTCGGAAATCAACACTTTTACTCTACACTGTAATAGAATGTAAAGAATAAGTTACTCCTTTCCTGCAGATATCTTTATTTCTATTCACATTTAACAATAAGCGGTTCACTGGTAATTATTTTTTTTGTAAATGTTGCTCATAGTTTTTTTTTGTGTGTTTCCTTGCTTCTTTTATGTCCTTTATTTTGCAATCACAATAAAAGTGCATTCCGTTCATTTGTATTGATATTTGCTATTCTCTTTCCTTTCTTTTGATATTCTAAAGGTTTTTGTTTATACATAGAGTGCAAAGAGTTGTGTTAACAAAAGACCATTCCTTTTTATTTCCTCCTGTGTTTCGTTTTTAACTGCCAGACGCGATAATAGTATCAGTTGTACTCGAAAGGTTTGTTGTCTTCTCCAGGTTCTCATATCCTTAAAAATAGTATTGTTAGCCTATTTTGTCTCTTATGCTCCACCCAAAATTCATTTTGAAAAATTTGTTAACTATTTGTGTCTCTTTCCAGAAATATTTTATATAATATTTAAATTATTTACATAATACATTAATATGTTATCTGACTTATTCTACTTTTACAGTGATACTATTTCTTACAAAATTAGAAGTTCTACAAGGATTTATCTTTGGCAGCCACAATCTTAATAACATAAAATATACACAATGTTGATAGCAGTTACTGAGAGTAACTATGAGAATTCCTTACACGAGGTAGTGGACGACAGCAAGAAGAAAAGTCTAAACACCAATTGCAAGAAGACAGAATACATGGTTAGAACAAGGAACAGGCCAACATGTAAATTACAAAATGGAGATACCAAAATTAAACAATTTAACTATTAGGGAAAATACTATAACAGAGAATTGAATGTGCGATGCTGAAATCCGAAGGGACTTTGGGATAATCGAAGATGCCTTTCAAAAGTTAAGCAGATAAAGTAACAAGAAAATTTCGTTAGGAATCAAGAAAAATTCTTAGCAATAATGGTGTTTTGGAAAGCTATCCTACTTCTTGTTCTGTCATCTATTTACACAATTGCTTTAGATAGATTACTAGGTGGTTTTCTCTGTCTTTATTGCCTTAAATACATCCAGTGAATGTCAGGCTTCTGTGCTATTTATGTGTCCCTAATATGTCAATTGTCCATTTCTGATTTTATTTATTATTATTATCCTTTCTGTTTGCTTTTTCTTAAAACTTCCTGTTCGCTTGCATATTCTGCCCATAGTATTCTGAGTATCCACTAGTAGAACAAAATACACTGCCTATAGTCTTGCCTCCATCTGGAAGGAAAATGACCAGCATTTACTGTCATATAGAACTGATATTCTGTATCGATACAGATTATAGTCTGTATGTATTAGATTATAGTCTGTATTTAATATTATAGCCGTGAAATTGTAAAATACGAAATAAGTTTATGTGGGTGTTCTTGGAATTATGGCTGAAAAAATACAAACAAAGGATGAGTAAAATTGGGACTAGGAATCGAACAGAGATGTTTCAGAAAACAATACATTTTAGGACAGAGACAAGATTGACAAATGTTTTGTTGATGCCAAGTGGTTAAAGAAAAACTGACAGGGACAGTAGCCATTTGAGTTTACCCTCCCCTGATCACTAAATTATGGTATATGGTCTTTTTAAGGAAATAATAATCAGAAGATTCATATCATTCTTATTATTTCCCTGTTTTTCTGCCTTACACGTCTCACATTTATTATTTCCCTGTTCTTCTGCCTTACACATTTAAGATTTAATATTTCCCTTTTTTCTGCCTTACACGTCTAACATTTATTATTTCCCTGTATTTCTGCCTTACACATCTAACATTTATTATTTCCCTGTTTTTTTGCCTCATACATCTAACATTTATTTCCCTGTTTTTCTGTCGTACATGTCTAACATTTATCATTTCCCTGTTTTTCTGCCTTACACATCTAACATTTATTATTTCCCTGTTTTTCTGCCTTACACATCTAACATTTATTTCCCTGTTTTTCTGTCGTACATGTCTAACATTTATTATTTCCCTGTTCTTCTGCCTTACACATCTAACATTTATTGTTTCCCTGTTTTTCTGCCTTACATCTTTCTCTCTCATTTATTTCACTTTTCTCCCATATTTCCCTGTTTTTCTGCCTTCTTTTATTTCCCTGTTTTTCTGTCGTGTTATGTCCTACTTTTCCATGACTATTGTTTTCCTTTCAGAGCTGAGGCTGTTATACACCATTTATACTGTAACATTTATTTCCTGTTTTTTTTTTTTAAATCTCTGTTATATATTCTCTCTTATTTTATCGTTTTCCGTTCTAATTCTTCTGTCATTCTTATTCTGTTTGCAATTTGACTTCTTAGTTTTTATCTTAATTTCCCTCATTATTCACTTTTTACTTATTTTCATTTATCAATTATCCTCAACTTTTTTCGCTTTTACCTTCCCTTATTGAGCGATGTACATTTAACTATTTCTCTTATATATCAGTTTAAAGATTCTTTCTTTCTATTTTTTGTTCTTTCTGATTTATACACTTTTCCTGCTTTTCACTGAATGTTCTCTCGTAGGTTTTTTCTCTTACTTATTCTCCGAAACATTTTCACATAAATATATTGTCTCTATTTCGCTTAGACATTTTCTGTATTATAATGTTTCATTATAAACGTTTACTTACAATCGCTTATTTTGTTACTCTTACTTATAATGCCTAACGTTTTCTCACTTATTTTATCTCATATTTATATAAATATACGTTTTCTCTTTTACTTATAATACCTATCGTTTCCCTCTTCTCTCATCTTTCTTATTTATATAGATATCTGTTTTCTTTCTTTCTTATAATACCTAAATTTTCTCTCTTCTCTTTCCTTTTCATTTCTTATTTATATAGACATCACTTTCTCACTTACCTATTGTTGAGACCAATTAAATTGTTAATGAAATAACAAAACATGTGTTACAGAGTAAGTACAACAGAAGAGCATTACACGACTAGTGAGTTTGTGTCGGTTAACACTAAAGATAATTGTCGGAAAATAAATTTTCTTATCTTGTACTCGGTACACTATTTACATTATTCGGACTATTGTCCTCATCTTTGTCGCCATATTTATTACAACCAAACCAAACCTATTTTTTTCCATCTTTATGTTTTAAGCCTTTTCTGTAATTTCTATATTATTTTCTCTAATCTTTTATCTCTTTCATTTTTGTTTCTTTATCTTTCTCTCTTTCTTATTCTTTGTCATTTATTCTATTTTGCTTTTTTTTTCTATTACTGTTTCTCTCTTATGTTTTCTCTTAAATTTTCCCTTCGCTTCTCTTTCCCCCTTACTTAGTTTACATTGCTTACTCTTTCTCCTGTATTCCTTTATCTTTTGTCGCTTAATTATTTTCTCATATTCTCTCTTGTTCTATCTTTATTTTTTTATACTCCCCGAAAATGTTTAACACGTTTCTTTTTCATCTTTATCTCGTATATTTTCTCTCTACTTCCCTCTTTCAGTTTCCATTGTTTAATTTTTTTCTTCTTAGTGTTTCATTCTTGTATAATATGCCCTATTTTGACTCTTTTCATTTTTGACTTCCGTTTATATCTTTTATTTCTTTTACCTTCTCTTTTATTCTTTCTTACACTTACCTTCACTCTCATAGGTTTTATTTCTTCTCTATTTTTCTATAATTTCTCTCTTTTTCTCTCTGAGATTTCCTTTATTTCGCCTCTCTTAAATTTTCATTATATCAATATTTCTTTTTTTTATGTATAACTGGCAGTAGAGCCCGGCGTTGCCCGGGGATATAACAGTAAGAGATAGATCAAGTATCCACCATCATAAAGCTTGAAAAATAAAATTGACAAAGATTATTGTTTAAGGTTGACGGACACGCACGTCTTAATTAGTTTTCTTTTTTTTTTACGAATTGGTCAAACTCAAACAAAAACATTGTTTTCAATCGTTATGTCTCTACCAATTGAATAGAATTTTATTATAAACAATTGTCTTTTAAAAGGAATTTTTAAAGCATTCTGAAAGTAAAAATAAAGAATAAAGTGTGCAAGACAATAAGAAACACTACATGCCAAAAAAGGGTGCAGTTTTGTCTAAATCGGTTGAAAAATGTAGGTAGCCTTTCTGTAATCTTTTAGTTTTTCCAATTTATGATTTTTACTTATTGAATACAGTAAAAAAAAATTGCATATTTTGCTTGTGGTGATTCATAATTAGAATTCTGATTTTAATATATTTTCCACTCGTTGTTTCTAATACAAAAAATATTAACTTTATTTGGGTTTATTAATTATGATCTAACAAATCTTATTCATTTAGTAGCCTTCTCTGTAATATATAATAATCTTTTTTATAATTTATGATTTTTTACTTATTGAATACAGTAAAAAAACATTGGACACCATGTGTATTTAAAGTAGTTTCCCGTTCCGGTTGTTATATTTAGTTAGGACTTCTGTATGTTTAGATTTCATTATCTTTCCCTAAAGAATTTATTCCGATATTTGTATTCGTACAATCAGTAGAGATCTTTAGATTATTGTTTAAGGTTGACGAACACGCATGTCTTAATTAGTTTTTTTATTTTTTAATCTTTTACGAATTGGTCAAACCCAAACTCAAACAAAAACATTGTTTTCAATCGTTATGATTCTCCCAATTGAATAGAATTTTATTATAAATAATTGTCTTGTAAATGGAATTTTTAAAGCATTCTGAATGTTAAAAATAAAGAAAAAAGTGTGCAAGAGAATAAGAAACACTACCTGCCAAAAAAAAAAAAAGTGAAGTTTTGTTTCATCGGAAATATAGGAAATCCGCTCCCATATTTAAAGGAACCCACAGACACAAACAACCCGATGTGAGTTGACCCCCTTCCATTTTCACGATGTCTCTTAATCGTGTTTTCAAATTGATTTTGTGCAAAAACAATTATATTTTCCCATTTTTGGTGCTGTTAGAACCACCACAAGGTAATTTTATGTAGTCCTGTGAAGTTTTGTTGAAATCGGTTGAAAAATGTAGGAAATCCGATCCAATATATAAACGTTACAGACAACACACACACGCACACACACACACATACACACAATCTGCGTCTGCGTTTTATAATAAGTAAGATTTCAATTTTTCTGTAGATTTTCCCCTCTTTTTCAATGATTTATTTTTTGCTATTTAATCTCACGTTAATTTCACATTTACTAAATGATGATGCTGATTTCCAGATGAGAGACTCGTTTGGGCCCTCCTCGAGGTAACGTTTTAAGTTGAATTGAAATGGAAAGATTATATTGAATCAGTTGTGAGAACTGCTGCTAGATATGTTGGTTCACTATATCGCGCTAGACAATCTTTTCATTCCAGAATCTCTCTAAAACCTTTATAAGTCTAGCAATTATCCAAGCCTTGAATCGTGCTGCCACATATTGTCTGCCACTTCAGCTATATATTTAGAGATTCTTGATAAATTCCAAAAGAAGAATCAGCAATATTGTTGGTCTTGGCCTTGTGTCTCTCCCCTCATTTTCCCACTCCTATAATGTAGCTTCCCTGTGTCATTTCTATTAATATGTTTATGGTAATTGTTATGATAATCTTTTCTCTGATACCTAAAGTTTAGGAATTTAAATTTAGTACGAGATTAGGGGCAAGGTCTCGTCATCTTACAACTGAAATAGGTAGATGTAAGTTAGAACCAACAGTTTCTTTTTCACATTTCCCTTGTGAAACTCTTTTCTCTATTCTTGCTTTACAGTCAACATTGATCTTCAAGAATTTAAATGCAGATCAATCGTTATCTTCTATCTTAATTCCTGTTTTTCTCTCCTTATTAATTTTTTCTTTTTTCATATTATCTCACGCTCAGTAACGCTTTACGTCTTAGGGAATTTATTGCCTTGTTTTTAGTGAAATAATTAAAACAATATTTTCTATCTCCTAGGTTTGTTCGGCCTGGGTAAGATGATAAATTACATCCGACTACAAGGCTTTGGAGAATTATAAGTCTAGCTTTTGTCCAAGCATTTAATATTGCTGCCACATATTGTCTGCCGCTATTGCTATATATTTAGAGATTCTTGATAAAATCCTAAGAAGAATCAGCAATATGGTTGGTCTTGAACTTACGTCCCGGTTTCAGTCACTTTCCTGCTGCTATAATGTAGCTTCCCTGTGTCTTTTCTATTAATATTTTTTTGTGGTAATTGTTATGATAATCTTTCCACTGGTACCTAAAATTTAGGAACTTAAAATTGCTACTAGAACGGGGTCAAGGTGTCGTCCTCTTACAGCTGAAATAGGTAGATGTAACCGTAAGTTATAGTAAACAATTTCTCCTCTCATACTTTTCGCTTGAGAATCTCTTTTTCTATTCTTGCTTTCAAGTTAACATTGACCTTCAAAAATTTAAATGCGGATCAATCGTTATGTTCTCTCATCTTAATTCCTGTTTTTTCTCTTATTTTTAATGTTTTCTTTTTTTCATATTCTCTCACGCTCAGTACGTCTTTACGTCTTAAAGAATTTATTGCCTTGTTTTTGGTGAAGTAGTTAAAAATATTTTCTCTCTCCTGAGTTTTTTCGGCCTGTGTATGATGATAAATTACATCCGGCTGCAAGGCCTTTGAAAGGGTGATTTCAGGTTTTGAGGAGCGTGGAATCATTTCTTATTTCTGTTGTTCTCGGGTCCACTCAGACTGGAGGTGATAGAATCTTTTACGGCCTCAGCCTGAGGGTAAAACTTCGAACAAAAATCAAAAGCAGTTTCTTTCTTTTTATGATAAAATTACAACAATACATTTTTATTGAAAAATTTCCAATATATTTGTATAGTAGAATTAGAAACAATACAATTTTTATGACAAAATGACAATCAATACAACATTAAAAAGTATAAAAATTCATTTTGTAGTAAAATTACGATCAATACATTTTCTTTTAAAATTTACAAAAAATATATTTTTGTAGTGTAATTAGCAGCAATGAATTTTTTTATATTACAATCAATAGATTTCATCATCTACAAACTATATATCTAAATAATAAGCGTTTACCCTGAAAACAACAAAATATGCACAGAATAGCCCTAAAATTGCGTACAAAATATTTACATTTTGACATTACATTAGCCATAGAGGTTGAAATGCTGTGAAGCAAAATTCACCAACACCCTAGTTTTTTTTTTTCAGTTTTACGTATTCTCTCTTATATTTTTCCGATTACAGTGATCTGTAAGAAGAAAATAAATATAAATATGTCATACTTTATTTTTTTTTATATTCTCTGTAACTGCTTTTGTCAGACAGGTTTTGTTCATATATTTTACTTCTTCTCTTTTGCATTACTTAGCATACATTTTTCTTTCATTCATATTTTCTCGTTCTTTTTACAGATCACTTTTCTCTCTTGCCATTTTCTCTATTATATTTTCTTTCCTTTCTTTCTCTTTCAATTATTTACAATATTAAATTTTATTTCTTCTCCATTGGCCATTCACTCTGTATGTTTTTTTTTCTGATGTATTCTCTTAGTTATTCTCGCTTCTCACTTTCTTTATGACTGTTCATTTTTTATTACTTATTCTCTCGTATTTTTCTTTTTCTTATTCTCTCTTACCATTTCTCATTTTCTTGACCACACTTACTTTTTTCTTATTTATTCTCCCGTATTTTTCTTTCTTAAGTTTTCTTTCATAGTTATTCTCTCTAAAACTTTCTGTCTATTTTATCACTTAATTTTTCTCGCTTTTTCTTTCTGAACATGTATTTCGTATACTTTCGAAACATTTCAATCGTTATAAATCTTATTTTTCGTACTTATTCTCTCATTTTTTTATATTTCTGATTTTTTCTTTCTTTTTTATACTTTCTTAAACAGACTCTCCTTCATTATCACTCTTACTTTTCTCCTATATTTTCTCTTAATTTTTCTTACTGCTGTTTTATTTATTTCTTACACACTTTAACCTGCGCCTCTTTCTTTATCACTCTCAATTTTTCTCACTTATTCGCTTTTATTTTTCTTTCTTTCGGGTATTTTTTAATTAGTCATTCTCTTCTTAACCCTTGTTTCTTTCTTTATTACTATTAATTTTTCTTCTCACTAATTCTCTCTTAACTTTTCCATTCCAGAAATATTCTTTCTTAGATACTTTCTCTTACCATTCCTATCTTTCTTTATCACTATTATTTTTTCTTACTTATTTTCTCAGTTTTTTCTTTCTAAAGTTGCCCTTGTTATTCTCTCTTAACCCCTCTCTCTCTCTCTTTCCTTATCACTCTTACTTTTTTCTCACTTATTCTCTCTTATATTTTCATTCTGGAATTTTCTTTCTTTGAAATGTTCTCTCTTTTTTTTTCTTTATCTTTATTACTCTCATAGTTTTCTTTATTACTTATTCTTTCTTAAACTTCCTTTGTTTCTTTACTTTTTCACTCTGATTTTTTTCTCATTTATTAGCCTTTATTTTTCTTTCTGAAGATTTATTTATTACTTATTCTCTCTTAAACGTTTCCTATTTCTGTATCATTCTTTCTTTTTCTCACTTATACGCTCTTAATGTTTCTTTATTATTTATACTCTATTATCAATCCCTCTTTTTTTATTCTCAATTTTCTTACTTTTTTTCTCTTATTGTTTCATACCTGTTTACTCTATTAAATGCCTTCTCTCATTAATATTATCTCTTACTTTTTCATTCTTTATTTTTTCTTATATCTCATTTCCTGTTAACTTTATTTATTCATTTATTTATTTATTTATTACTAATTCTATCTTAAATTTTCTCTACTCTTGTTTCACTTTTATTTTTTATTTTTAACATATTAACTATTCTTATTTTTTAGTTCTTAGTTTTTATATCTCTCTTTCTTTCTTTCTTTCTTTCTTTTTTATTCCTTTTTCTTATTTATATTTTCCTCTTTCTTTTTCTTCTTGACGTTGATCCCTCTTATTTTTCTCTTATATTTTTAAGTTTTCTTTCTTAACTATTCTGTTTTTCTCTCTTGTTTATTCTCTCTTACTATTTTTGTTTTATTAATTATCTCTTCCCTATTCTCTCTCTCATATTCTCTCTTACCCATATTCTCTCTTGCCTTTTCCTCTTCTTTTTTCTCTCTTACTTTTACCAACTTGTTTTTTTCTCTCTTATATTTTCTCATTTAATCTTTTACTTCTTTTCCTCGTTTGTATTTACAGACCCTTCCCATAATGCTTACTTCCTGACTGACATTTATTTATAAAGCATTGTATCGATCCGTAGTTGAAGCAAGATAATTAATGTTGTCATTAAACCGATATAGATAAAACGTTTTTTTAAGTAGATCCTGAAGAGAAACAAGGTTCAGAATTATAGAAATAGTTTCAAAGTGAGGCTCTAACCATTGATATTGAAATCAATCTCCAGTGAATCGAATAAAGAATTGAGTTTGTGAAGAACTGTGGAAAGAGCAATTGAAGAACGTCATAAGACTAAGGAACTTATGATTTCTGATTCAAGTGATGCACATGTGTACATAAATGTTAAAAGATGGCTTTTTTAAAGGTAGATTGCAATAAAAGTGTTGGCCAAATAAATGATTAATGCCTAATAATGACATCCATAGACCAATGACATGACTTCCTCCGAAGTGTATTATCTTAATGGGGGAACTTGATAAATTTGAAGACGAAAGATGATTAAAATTATAGAAAAAGGAACGATCATTAAAGAAATATTCTGAAGTGTTCAGAAATGAGAAAAATTATCACTTGAATGGATGATGAAAGGAAAGATTATGTTGTATCAGAAAGATGACATAATAAAACAAAAATTAAATAATAACTTCTATGAGAATACATGATAATGTACTGTGACATGACAGAGTGGATTGTTCGTTCATATAATCCGGACAGCATTGGTGGTCGAGATTTATCTCTTGACATGTATATCTTAGACAAATGGATCAATAATTTTAATATTTTTTTAGCATCCCACGCAAGGCAGGGATTGCACTAGTACTCAGGAGTTTACAGAGAGTTGTAATGAGAGAAAATCTAGTTAGTTTCTAACGATATTTTCCTATTTATTAATATTTTGCGATTTGGAAAGCAACATTCGCTATCCCAGTGCGTCTGCCGATTCGAGTGTTGCGTTTTACATTCACTGTTAATTGCTATTTAATATCAATACTCGTATGCGACAATGAATACTGCCCAAATCTGTCAAAGATGAAGAGAACATTGAAGCAACACGGAAAAGGTTTAAAAGACAGAACGTGATTTTATTGGAATATGCGGAGTTAAGAATCTTGAAGAATTTGATACTCACCGGACATATTGAAGTCCCGCAATACAATACAAAACCGCGAGTAAGCTGCCTAAAATGTTTGTGTAAATGAATTCTTGACCAAGAGTTGAGGGATATTAAAATAACACATTCTAAAGTGTTCCAAATGATAGACTGATGCTACACTCATATATATATATATATATATATATATATATATATATATATATATATATATATATATATATATATAAACCTCATCCAACAATCCTCACTTTTGCTCCATATATGGCATCCTTTGCATATCACTTGCGTATCTTACGTTTATCCCACAAAACTCGTAACTGAATCAGTTGGTTGTTGTCAGATTCCCATACGTCGAAAACGACGGAATGTCATTATATATATATATTATATATATATATATATATATATATATATATATATATATATATATATATATGTATGTATGTATGTATGTATGTATTAAACGATACCAACATATTCTGTCTGAGATTCTGCTGTGTGGATCAACATTATTTACATGATACATATATTAGGGGTATTGGCTACATGTTTTTGTTGCTATCACAATAGTTATGCCGAAGGAGAAAGGATAAATATTGACTTATGTGGAATGAACTAAAAAGTGAGTTAGATGCATGAAAGAATCAGCACATATGCTAGCCGATGAGGACCCCCTTACCTTAGTAGGTCAAGCGTAGGTGTAAATATCCTATGGGTGCCGCTAATAATAAGAAAGACAACTGACAGCAAGTCTTCAACAGAAGCAGCAGTAATCAAAACATTATTGGATCTAACAGCAGTCAAAGTATCGCAGGCAAAAACAGCAGTAATTGTGATACTAATCAGCAGTCAGGTTAGGTTTACTGTTCTAAATTCACCCCAGCAAATTGTCCTACATGACTGTACTAGTGGAGTAAAGCTTTAGCTTATGGATTTGGTAACACAGTGACTGTGTCTCCAAATACTGGAATGGTCGGTATTTACTTGGTCTCAGTGTAAATGGAGGAGCAATAACTGAGTAGTACTAATAAGAAGAACTGAGGTTATCCCTACATCTAATGTTTTCCCCGTATATTAAATAACGGCCTCAGTTCAGAATAAGCTTTAGGCTTCCTAGATTGATTTTACCCCTGAAGAATAACCATATATGGACAACATTCTGAATAAGAATAATGTGAATAATCCCGACACTATTTAAAATGTATAAAAATGTCCGTATGCATTCCGTTTGACCTTTGTAAATGGCGTCACTTTAATGACAATGGAAATTCATTCCAGAAGTCATAGAAATGATGGAATTTACTAAACACACAGTTCTCATAACACGCAAATATATGATTAAGTTTTTAAAATATGTGTGCTTCGGTATACAGTTTTGATCTCTAGAATTCATCGGAATTAAGACAAGTGAGTGTGAAAGCTAAACTTATGATACTCTATCTTATATAAGATGATATTAGTTTTTGTTATCTTCAGTAATTGAATGTCTCATATGTATTGTGAATGTGTATCTAATATGGTTTTTATATAAAGCAATTGATTTTAATGACGTTTTGTAACAATGTCTACAATGTTTTATTTTAAACATTTTATAACAGATAATAAAGCATATATGTTTCTATATATCTATTATAGTGATAGTTTCTTCATCTTGAATATAGTTTGGTTTATCGGATTACAATAAAATAAGTACTACAATTCTAGATGAATATTTGCAAATTTGTTTTATTTTTCAATATGTATTTATTTCGTTATATTTCTGATTTTTTCGGAAAATGTCTAGACTCCTTTCTTCTATAGATTATTAGCAGTTCGGTTTGAAAATAAATAATAATGAAATGAAACTCTCATTGCATCAGAGCTCAGGAAGCCTGTTTCTAAGAAAGAGGTGTTTTACCGGTTAGCTGAAGAGACATTATTTTACAACATCTACGCTCATGTGACAGGAAGTTCCATTGAGTTGGAATATAAATTTGAAGGCCTTATTTATTTTGTTATGTTTTCGATTGTCTCTAACATCATGATATTAAGAAATAATCCAGATGTTCAACTTTTACAAAATTTGAACATGGCGAACTCCTGTCAGTTGCTCATCCTTCTAAAAACAAGAAGAATGACATCTTATAATCAGAGGCCACACCGACAAAAAAGAAAAAAAAAACATTACCTTGGCTGGGTTTTTGCACTTGAAAGTGCCATTCTTATTACTCTCGTAAAGATCTGAAGACAGAATACGGTCATTTCATCTGCTAGTGTACGCATCCTGAGTACAATTCTTCTTGTCTGTGTAGAAGATTATTCCAGGACCATTCTCTAAGTTTTCACGTACGATTTCATTTTCAAGGCATTTTTCACTGCTCTTTGGACTGTCATAAATGAAACTCTATTCCTTCGAACCAAATGTCTTCTGGATTGAGTTGTATCCTTTCTAATTGTACTCATTTGCTGTAAATTGAAATTATGATACCTCTTCCTGTTGTGACCTCTTGATCCAGTTTTCATCTCTACTGTTCCATCTTTTAATTCACCGTTCTCTTGATGCTTTTTGAATGCAATATGGAAACGAGATTGTGAATATTGGTACCAGTACTGAAGGCCTGAATCAATTTTTCCTCTCACCATTGCTCATTAGGGATTACATAGTGAAGCTGTTTTTCAGTGATTCTTACGATATATTGTCTCAAGATGGTTAAACGTATTATCTGAAAACCTGTAAAAAATTCTGATTCCCAATTAGTTTAGTGGTTTTTTACATATTAAACATTGTTTGGGATGGACAATTACGCTATTACAGGATGTGGACATTTTTTCTGTTATAGCAATAGATAGATAGATAGATAACTTACTATCCACAATTTAATTGTTTATCAGGACTGAAGATAACACACGACAGTCGAAAACTCAGATAAAGCCATGGTTTTGATATTTTACATTTGCTGCAGACAATAAATAAAACGTATAATGTAAGATATTTTATAATAAATAAATACGTAAATATGCACGTCTCCGTCGGTCAGGATTGGCCATGGGTGTCGTCTTAGTTGTGTACCTGGCTGGAGCATCGTCACCTGTGACTGTAGAGGCCGATTTGGGAGTGACAATCTCTGTTGCAGAGGTGGCATGCGTGTTCTGTCTCTGGTCTGTTGGAGCTGTCAATTTGCTTTCTGCGGGCCCGCCTTTTTCTGGCGACTTCTGTCAGATTCTCCTCCCCTGACTTGAGGTGTTTAATCAAAGGCTCTATTCCACTTAAATCGTATAGCTGCCAGAATCTCCCAGGACTCTGTGTTGATGTCCACAGCTTTCCTGTCGCGCCTCATGACGTCGAGGTACCGCAGCTGTGGCCGCGCCACGTGTCTTCTTCCAGAGGCCAGAATATAATTAATCTGAATAAATAAATCATATTTAATCAGAATAAATTGTAATAGACTGAAATAAATAATAATTTCATGATTAAAATAAATTCAATAAAAATTCAACAAAAATGCCAGTAATATTTACTCACCTTCGTTTAACAGACAATAATTTACATCACGTAGCCTCCATTATATTTTTCTTTCCATATTCAGCAAACTTTAAGATACTTTAGCGTGTTCTCAAATTCAAAATTTGAAAACTTAACGATAATTTTATCTACGTTACTTCTCTTTATACATACAAGTTACAAAATAAAATCTCCTCATTTGCATTGTTAAC